GACGAGTCTCTTAGAATCCTACGAAAAAAAACGCTCACCATATCTCGATAAACAATGCCTTTCAGTCTCTGTAAATCAACTTCTTGCAGCAAACGATCCGGATCCATTACAGTCTCACTTTTCTTCTGAAACATTCGCAAATGGTCATCAAACAATTCACGTACACTAAATATCTCATCCCCCACTAGATCTTTACAGATAAGTGTCATTTTAAGATGTTAATTCATATTCTCAAAACCAATCAAAAAGCAAAACCAAACCACCTCCAAGGCGCCTTGAACGAAAAGTGCGATATTTTTAGCACGTTCGAGTTGTTTCGCATCTCGATACGAATCTGCACGATGCATATCGCCTCGTTGCATACGACACGCCAATATATTACGAACGGATATTGTTGATACTGAAAAATTGTGAAACAATTCAATCGAAGATCATTCGAAGAGCGAATGTAAACTTTTGACTAAATGACATAAGAAAACAACACAAGTTGATGAAACAATGTAAAATGCAAAGAGTAAATCCGTTTGTGGATGTTTTTGGAACTCTATATCAAATTTAATCAAAACATTATTGTGTCAACTTTACAAATGGCTTGTNGTGCGAGGAATTCTGGCAAAATATGAATCGAAAACTGATCATGTTTTCAACGTTTTTAATTAATGCTGCGCACAAATATACCACACAATATCGCTCATCCAAAAAGTCAATTCAAATGAACTGAAAACATGTAAACATAAAACATATGATTCAGATTCTCTATGCACTCTATTTCCAAATAGTTACATTATATAACGCAATTTATCAACGACAAACAACGATACTAAAATCACCAACAAAAAATCGCATACCTAAACGAAGAGTTTGTCTGAGAATGCCTCCACTCGGCATATTTTTCTCTTGCTCCAAGTCTCCGAAATTGATTCCAGACGCGAATATGAAAACATCGGCCAGTAACGCAAAACGTGCCAACAGGTGTGCGGCATCATCAATTGACAATCCTTGCGATGTCGAGTCGATTATTTCCAGTTCACTCTGAAATGAGAGACGATTCAGAGCGGAACTCGATTTCAGTTTACCAATAACATTCATTCACATGAATTAATGCTTTCCACTTGCAAACGACGCATTCAAGTCAAACTCTTCTATCCAACCGATGATTCTAGATAAACCCGACTATTTCATCGATCATTTCTTTCATCAGTAACTGCATCATCTCACTACGTGCACACGATCCTCAATTACTGAATACTGCGAATCGCTCAAAATTCCCGAAAACTTACGATACACTTATTAATTCGAAGCAATCTGATAGATCGATGCTGAAATTTTCCGAACACACACTGCAACCGAAAAAGTACAACTCAAATGAAAAACAATCAGATGCGTAA